CTATCCATCACGCAAAGTAATTTTCATTTTAAGATTAAAAATACTTTTATGCATCAGAAAATTTTCAAATTTCACATGCAAAATCTTTATAATGTCCAGACAGTTATCGAGTGTTTCTTAAGAAAAAAACTATTTTATTTGTTATTTCCACTAACGAATCTTTGTACAGGTTCGGTAGATTTGACCGATCTTGTAACCAGCATAAAAAATTAGGAAATAAATATAAATTATGCCTCTTTCGTTCTAGAATGACAACAAATTATAACACTAAAACATAAATAATGTACAATACTAAAATTTGAATTATAATCTACAGTTTGATGCCAGACTTATTGACATAAATTCATGAAATAGTTGTTCAATAAAATTTTGAATATGAGTCAACAAACGCGATGACATGGCATTTGACTCCTGACCCGTCTGGAGAGGGTTAATACATTGAGTACTATTCACAGTTTTAAAAATGTTTGTGAAACAACTTCAGTTTGTTGTGGTTTATTTTATAAAGGTTTTCTTAAGACATTTTAAATTTTTTTAAATAAAATAATTATCTTTAACATATCTTCACGAAGCTGTAGCCACATTGTCAGGAGAGTCTTCTATTCCTAAACTTCTTGAGCCTCAACGTAAAAAAACTGCCACACTGTGCCAAGGCCAGTCTTCAAGCAAAAAATCACAACTATCTCTCTTATCCACAGCAATTAAAAGAAAAAGGTGAGTGAGATGACCAATGATTTGTCATAAAAAGTAAACCATGAAGTATCTTCATCATCTGATGAATAATTTTCTTTTTCATAATATGGAATAATTAAATTTAGTGCAAGATACCATTGACCTTTTTGTAGCCTTAAAATGATACCATAAAGCTTTTCGAGAAGGAATGATTTTGCTCCGAAAGGATCTCCAGAAAAAAAATTATTACTTGAGGAATAGCTTGTTACAAACTCAATTGGTGTGTATTAATATCTTCTTTTTTTTTTTGTAAGTACTCTATATTTGGAAAGTTTACGTATATAAATTGTTTGCAAAACAAAAAAAAGAATAAATCAAGCTTCGCAAATAAAATAGCATAATGTATAAAAAAAGGAAAAAAATTTATTCTTTGCTGACCTGTTTCTTCCTCGGCAAAATGCCTAATAAAAGCTACAGTTAGAACTATTATTTTGTATATTGCTTGTTTAATTTCAGAAGTTTAATAAGTGGTATCTTACAGTAAATTAACTTTATATGGAGTTTTAAAATATTTTTTTCAAGCTCTTGTTTATTTCATTAAATGTTCTTTAATTATGATATAGAAAAATCTTGTATTTGTTTAGTTCTGAGCCTGGTCTGCAAGAAGAGAAGAAACAGAAAATGAATAAAATCAACTCTGGTAGGCTTATAATTTCTGTGTTTAATAAACTATTGCTAGTGATTTTTGGTTGGTGTGACAAAAAATTAAACTTTGCATTAATAGAAAATTTATTAAATTATTTAAATGAGTTTTTGTTTCGTTCTCCAGTAGATAATGTTATTTGGTGTCATTCAGTTTAATATTCAAATACCAATAGGAAGAATATTGTAATTAAAACGTTTTCTAATCTTCCATGACATATTTTATTATAAGTTCAGTTTCATGCATATTGTTGAAGTTTAAAGGAACACGTTAACAAACACGTAGAAATTTGGTCATATAACTGAACTAGATTTACGTGGAGATGTTTTCATTTTTTTTATTTTAGGTAATCAATCTGAATTACCAGACCCTTCAACGAGTAACAACAATAGCAACCAGGCATCTCAAGACAGACTTGAAACTGACAAAAGTGGAATAGACTCCAATTTTGAAGGGGTGCGAAATAAGGCATCAGGTTTAATGTGTATTGGTGTCCTTCCGGGTGTTGGAGTGTATTCTGATAGCAGTGACTCTGAGGACTCTTCCAGTAGCGATACTGAAGATGGCTTAGACCTATTGGCTCCTAACCTGTTAGGTCGAGCCAAGCTTAAAATCTGCGGAAACACAGTTAAAGCTGTACCTTAACTTTGAACCTTTAGCAGATATCTTGTTCAATTTCTGGATTCTTTCTCTGCTTCTCCTGCAAACTGTAGACAAGCATTTCATTCCCTCAGTTGTTGTCTTTCCAGAGAGTATGTAATCATAATAATGTTGAAAAGAACTTCGACACAGATGCTTGGTAGAATTGTGACATTCCATTAATGTGTGAATGTAAACTTGATGTAAGTTAAGTCTACATTTATTTTCGGAATTTAAAATCAAGGTCTTGGGGAGCACCCACATAGAAACATTTTATTTATTTTACCATGTATTGTTGCTCCTTTTAAATGAGCATTCAGAACCACCTTATTTAACTCTTCAATAAGATTATTCATATTGTAAAAGTTTTAGTTGTGAATGAAATTTTTAGTTTTGGTTTTGGAATGAACGTAAGTCACTAAGTCACGTAGGTGCTTCTCATGTAATCCAAACACAATATTTTTTGAAATATTTGAAAAGAAAAAAACAAATCAATAATAATTCACAAGTTTAATCAAAACGTGAGATAATTGCTCTTAATTAAGCAATATTTACCGCAGAACTGATAACAGTATTTTGAGATGCATCAATTCCTGGAAATACAACTCTGTTCTCAAATACAGTTTGAATTAGTTTGTCTGTTATTTTTCTCATTTCTAACGTTTTTAAGGTTACATAACGTGTTATGCAAGGTGAAACTTTACAATATGAACTTTGGATCATTTCTGTAATGTACACGATAAAGATAAACTTAGAAACAGACATGATTAAAGCAGCATATTATTCAAAATGTTAAATGAGTTTATGACATTTTAAAATAATTCATTAGCAAAAAAGCGTTATATCGCCTACTGTCACGTTCTATGTAGACCTTTTCTAACCTTATAAACATGATTTACAGATATTTGTCAGCCTGAATGAATGGACAAATAAGACATAATAAGTTATTCATGGAAACAACGAAGGAACTACTAATCATACCATTACTATATCTGTTGTATCCCAGCTGGCCTGATGAGCCTTGTTATTCAGTGAAAGGCTTCGTTAGCACTGGATATGACAAATGTATTGTGTTTGACATATTATAACGTATTCTCCTTTGCTTTTGCTCATGGGTTCTTATAAATACTTTAATTGTGAAGAACTCCTTTTAAAATAATCTTTGTAAATATGTAATGGGTGTGTTGAAAGGATGTTTAAACAAAATCATTAATTTTTAAGTGACTGTAATCCTGGTTTAAAAAAATCAGTAAAATCCATTCAACTGTTTTTTTGTTTATTCTTGAGTGTTATTATCATGCTAGTTTGTTATTGACTACAGTGATTGAATTAACAGTTGACACCATATGGTACATTTGCGGAAGATTGTGAATGGCAAAACAAACAAGTTAACATTTAACATTTTTAGTTAAATATATCTATATTCAGTTAAGTGTGTCACAAACTTGAATTTTAACCTATGGATAAATAAATTGATAGGCTAATACTTTGAAATGATTTCTGAACCTATGCATAGATATTTGTATGAATGCTTAATAAAAAAAAGCCTTTTCTCACTGAAAATGGTTACTCAGTATTTCACTTTGCAACTCCTTAAAGGGTTATTAAACTACTGCTCTGAGAGGTAGGCTCATTACAACTGATAGGTAATAAAAATTGAAAACAACAACAATACATTCAAACAACACGTACAATACAGAAGGCTTAAAAGTTGGTTCATAAATGATATCCAGATAGTTGAGAATGTTATATTAAAACAATTTTGGAGCCTTACCATGTTGCCATATCTGGTCATTCTCTATCTGACAGTCGTGCATCGTTACAACAGACCTGCAATATAGTTTCTTTTGCACAAGGCTTTATTGCAATGCTATCGTGTCCAAAACATATCCTTCCTCCCTTCAGGCTTTCCATAATCCATGTAGTGTACAAGGACAACTCCTAGCACACATTTAAACAGTATGCACTTTAGAATAGTATGAATACCTATTCTCCATCTGCATGAGGTATACGATGGTAGATCATAATAAGCTTTATCTTGGTGAAATAATACCTTGTTGGCCCTATTTCTGTACAAAGCCACAATTTCTGTGTGGTACAGGGTTCAGAAATTTGGCATGATAGTAAGCAGAGTTCTTGTATCCAATCTCCCAATCCCTTATTTGCCCCTGGCACACTAACTAGGGATGTTCATGAATCTCTTTGAAAACATTTTCACCCATTGATAAATAGAAAATAGCACAAGGCATGCGAGTGCCACCACAGACTGCTGTTTTACCAGGCTAGGTTATCTATAGTTCTTCTTTTCCTGGATATGCCATGGAAGCAACTTTTCCAGATGGATAACCTTCTTGATTATGTTGTTTCCTGGGGCATGTGGACAGCTTTTGGCACTGACCTTTGTGTTTGTGTACTCTCACTTGTTAAAAGTAGAGGTTTACAGCAGCTGGGATTCGACTTCTTTCAGGTCTCTGTATGGGTGGCTTTAACTGTACATGTTGATCCATGTTCTTTTGTTTTCCAATGCCATTAGTACAAGCATTGCTTCATGTTGGATGGGATGTTGTCCCATTTCATTTCAGGAGGGCCTGAAACCATCCTGATACTTTTTAGTAGACTGTAAACTTTTCAGAAGGGAAATGTTCAATAGAAGATGTAATAGATATTTACGGCAAAAAAGACTCAGGAGATAGAATATATATATATATGTATTAAAAATGTGTAAGAGCGAGGCAGAAATGAGACAATGTATTACATGGATGGAGAGAAGGAACTCTTTTGCTATGGCTCGGTCGGTATGACCGAATTCGTAACCATCAGAGTTAATTTCCGTACTATACCTTGTAACAGTATACATCTGTTTATTTTTAATATTTTATTGTTTTATTGCCCTTTAAATCGTGTCTAACTAATAATCCCACTACACAAGTTGTAAGGCACTCGGCAAACTTGCAGCTCACGTTACCGTATCAATTTACATATCGAATTATGTAACGCATAAGCTGCTCGTGAAGATTTTTTTTACTATCATTTTTCCTTATTTTAGGTAATCTAACGTAGTAAGTTTCTAATTTTTACATTTCTGTTTTATAATAAAGAATAAACATGAAAAACAAGACATATAATACTCAGCTTCAAGAATTTAACAAACCATCCTGCTTCCTCTTTTTTTTCCCGCCACTTCAAACACTGAGCACAAGGGATATTCCCGTCTTGGAAGTTCTAATTCTCTGATCTTAACACATCTTTATGATACGAGTGTGTGAATATTTTGCGTCGGGAAAGATTGCTTTCCCCAAAGCAATCAATTTTCAATGGCATCACACTACCTAGACGATTCCAAAGATTGTAAAAATGTAGTTCTGTTCCACTACGACTTTATATGGATGTGTTTTACAGGCAACTTCCTTATTTTCATGTTTAAATCGTTCTAATATAACTAAGACCATACGTTACGATCCAGCTAGCTTCGTGGGCTCTGGTTGTGAGCATAAGGTTTTGACGTCAACCGCTTGCAATAAGAGAGGTCTAGTTGAAATGCTGTTATACTCATCTTATTGGAAAATCCCACTCGGGCCAAAAAAGAAAATGATTTAAATTATTATCAGCCTCATTATGATGTAATATCACCGCTAGATGTAGTTGAATACTATCAAAGTTGGAAATAATCCCAACACTGCAGTTTATGGATAATGTTATAAAGCACCTAGTGAGAGATACAAGAACTAAAGCACATAAGCATTACTTACAAGTTTATACAAATACACGAGGTGAGAAATGTAAATTCGATTTATGTAGTTTGAAATCTATTTTATATAAACTAAAAATGATTCAATTGTGTTGTGGAATAAAATGTACAAAGGCTAGGCCTAATTCATTAGCATTGATAAGGAGTAATTTTCTTAAATTTACTATACGAAGAATGGTGGCGCTAAGCTTATGGCGAAGGTATCTTCAGGATATGATAAATAACCACGTTTATTATATCAGTGTTATTTTTTTCATATTACTCCATAGTTGTCTTTGTGTCAGCGGCAAATTACCGCTGACAACTTACTCTCCTATGGCTAGTGATTTTAATTATTATTTAGTTTGTTTTTAGAACTTAGACTAAAGGGAAGGCATTTAATCACCGCCAACTCTTGGCCACTCTTATGTAACGGAGTAGTTGGATTTAACATTCATCCATGCCACAAAGACGGAGCTTTGAGTGTGTGTGTGTAGCAACGGAATGCGAACAAGTAACCTTTAACTCCAAAGCCTGTGCACTCTTAACTACTAGGTCACGACCGGCCCTAATTTTAGTAATACACAATTTTTTCAACTGATCAACTGTGCTTGTTACTTAAACAGGATATCGTTAATTACTAAAACAAAGTATAGTTATGCAGATTGACCGAAGTACTAACTATGGCAGGTGAGTGCAAGATTGCCTGCGGATCTGTCGCAGACAAGTAGGAACACTTTCCATTTCCAGTAACTGGGTATGACATGCGGAGGTTTTAAAAAAATATTCTTACGTAAAAGACTGTCTTGACTTTTTCGTTATGGATGAGACAAGAGGAACGACCTAAAATTCTCACTGTGCATTCCTTTTTAGTTTCTCACGAGCTAGAGTGTCATAAAACTACAATTTTATGATTTCCATTTCATCTGACTTAATACAGTTTCCATTCAGTTTTAGTAGGGTAGTCAAGGTTAAATTGATTTTACCAATTCTTCATTGGGGAATATATATGGCGTTTACTCACTCCTACTTCCCTGTGGTAAGCAATTCTCCAAAGTTTTAGTAGTTTAGTCGAGGATAAACTAAGTTTTCCAGTTCTTATTTGAGGAATATGGCGTTTATTCACTCCTACTCTCCTGTAATAAGCAAATTCCGACTACATCAAGGGATAAGTCAAGGCATATTCTTTTATATATGTATATACAGTATTCACAAA